CAATAAAACCAGAAGTCTGACACTCAGCTCAGAGTGACATTGGTATTCTGGCCATTTGTTCCTCATTTATGAGTGCTAACTGCTACATGTAAATCAAATAAGTCAGGCTCTAGCCCTATGTCGGCAGGACAAAGTGGAACTCACAATGTTATTAAAATACCTTGGAGTGATTTTTCACCTGTCCTTTAAATAATCCTAAGTGGATCCTTTATTTGATTTCCATAAGGATGTTAGAAAGCTTTTAGAAATGTTGGAGTAACCCTTAGCAGCTGCAAGGAGTATGGGCTCTGTTTTCCCCGTGTGGTTACAGAGGGCTGCCTGAATGCCGTGCATGGAAACTTAAAAAGCGAGCAAAATTCAGACCTCACCAGAGCCCCTGTGCAGTGATGCAGAATTATCTACGTCTCTCCATTATCCAGGAGACTTGAATTCAAAAATTAGGTAATCTGAATGTAAGCAAAATCACAGCCCAGTCAACTCTTGGCTGGGCTTTTGATATATGTACGTGTGGCAGACAGGCAGAGGGTGTTTTCAGACACTGGGCCTCTTCCCTCCCTTTTTCCTGATCTTGCACATGGTGGCCAGGAGGAAGAGAGAGGAGGCGGGAGAAAGAGTGGTTAAGAGACCCAAGGGCATGAAGAGGAGCGAGTGGTGATGGGGAAAATGCCGGGCGTGCGATAAGTGTGTGGGTGTGCTCACGTGTTGGGGGGTACCGAGGGTGCCACAGACACAAGTTATGCAGTGTGTGTGCAGGGTTCACCCACTCTAGAATGTCCAGCTCTGCAAACCGGCCAGATTCAAAAGTAGCAAAATAGCCAGTTTGATCTATATGTGGTCCATCCTAAATTAAAACAATAAATGACATTCCCAGAGCATCACTAAGGAGGGGTCTCTAGCAAGAATACAGGAGAAGTGACATTAGATGCAAAGGACTGTTGGACATCACCACTCAGCCCAGGAGTCATGGGTCTGGGGTGCACCCCTCCCAGGCCAGACCTCCTCCCCCCACAGGAACTGAGCGAGATGGACGTGGTGTCCAAGGTCAGAACCACTGCTCTCTCACTGAGATTGTGAGACCAACCTCACAGGATTTTTGTGAAGATTCATTAAGAAACTTCCCCGAATCCTCCCTTAACAGTATATATTTATTACTTTGAGTGACTCGCTTCCAAGTTCCCAAACTGACCTTGACTCACAAATAACTGTATGTTGACCTTAAAGTAATTTTTTCTTACTGTTTTGCTACTTACAAAGATAAATTGACAGTTTTTAGTAAATTTAAAAATATAGGAAAGAAAAAAAAATAAAGTCCTAAGACTAACTACTAAGTCAGCTACTGTCAAGGATTTGATGGACACCCTTCCAAAGCTTGCTGTATAATATATGGATATATATGTATGACCATATATGTATATAATCTGCACATAAATGGGATCAAAATATACATGCTGTTTTACAAGCTGTTTTTTTTCAACTATATGCCAAAAAGATTTTTTAAGACAGTGTACAGACAGATACACACACACACACACACACACACACACACACATATACGATCTTGTTTAAGAGCCATATAGTAATCTATTGTGTGGGACTTTTCACAATGTACTTAACTAGTTTCTTATTGATAAGCAACTAGATTTCTTCCACTTTTCACTATTAGAAATGTGACATGATGGCATCTCTTTGGGTGTATAGCTTTACATACTTGTCCCCTTTGGAAAGATTTCTAGAAAAAAAGATTGTTAAGTCAAAGAGATGCACATGCAAAATTTTGATATTGCCAGATTTCCCTCTAAAAAGGTGCCACCAACCTATATTCCCATAAGTGCTGTATGTCCTCCCCTAAAGCAGAAAGAATTACATGGTTAGAACCAAAAAGCTTGAACCCATGACAACAATGAAGGATACAGAAGAAGCAGCTAATGATGATCTGAAAGGACACCATAGCTATGGCAGCATCCAGAAGAGAAATCGCCATGGGGAATCTGAATCCAAACATTGGCACTAGGCAGTAACACGGGAAAGGAGACCAGACTATTCCGAGTATTAACATCTGAAACTACCCTCTGCTTTGGTTCAAACAAGTTACAACCTTGTTTGAACAATGCTTACAGTTGTATTTAAGAATAAGAACTAATGAAAAATCAGATAGCAGCCGTGTGTATGTCACCACATAACATGCTTTAAATGATGCACTCAAGTTAGCATAGATTGGCACCCACTCCTTTTAAAGATGAAATTTTGAGATACTGAAAACTCCAAACCTGACTTGCCTGGCAGAAGTAAGGATTTCCAGTTCTACATGTAACTATCTATTTCCATCTATCTGTCTGTCTGTCCACCATTTATCCATCTAATGACAAACCTTTGTATTGCATATTAGTCAACCTTCAATTCTGCTGACACTGACAAATAATATTTCCCGGTATAGTTAAAAAAAAAGATGTCGAGTCTAAGAAGATTCATAAAGTAAGGCAAATGACTTTCTGCAAAGACTGTGATTCTTCAAGCCGGGGCAGGGGGTGGGGGGAGTACAATTACTAAAGCTAACCTTAATACACTTTACAGCTCAAATTAAGACTGCATTATCCAATAGTAGATTGTCTAGGCTAACAAGATAAAACCAAGTAGGAAACTATTCAAGCATGTACTTTTTCTTAGGTGAGTTTCCCTAGCTGTGGAGCCTAAGATGATGGTTCTTGGCAAGGGCTCTATTGAGAAGAAAGCTATGAGGAAGTGAGCAAAGCTGGCCAGGACAGGAGAAGCACCCAAGTAGACACGTGGTTTCAGTGGAAGACTAATATTAACTTGGTCGAAAAGATACCCAGAAACTTGAGTAATACCACAAACATATCCCACTTTAAGGCAAGGGGTGGGCTTTTGTATCCCAGCATAAGTCATTCATTGGCTGCACAATGCCTCACGCCTAGGCAATCGTGTTGGTCGAAGGCAGTTCTCCAGCGCTGTAGTTGGCCAATACTCATGGCAGCTGGTGAATGCATTAATTGGTAAAGGGGACCAGGATGGGGCACTCAAAGCACCTATTACAGCTCATCCCTGCCCTGCTCAGATTAACTCACTTTTCCTATAGAGATCATTTTGTTTGGACACACCGTTTGTCACCATGATTCTAGGTAGTCATAATTTCTATGTACACTCCAATGGAAGGGATCAACTAGACAAACTCTAGTCCGCTGCTGCAATTGCATGGCATAGGAATACCAGGATGTGCTTTGGTGGATCACCTGGATTCCAGACCTATTTCTTCCTGCCTCATGTGTAGCAGCTACCTTACATGCCCAGCCAGTCAGGATTGATTTCTCCTACTGGTATGAAAAATCTTTTCTTTTTTTTGACTCTAGGTCTACGGACAACAGCCATATCTTTAAGACTGCCAGAAGTCTTACTGCATCCCCTAGTAGAAGCAACTACATCAGAGGACCAAAACCTCTAGACTCACAGAGTGTAAAGGTACAGGGATGAGAAGCACAAATTTTCGATTACTGGGAGTGGTAGTGAGAGACTCCACATCAACTTCCACCCATTGGTTACTGGGCAATGTATTCTACCCTGGGGAGGGGGGTGGAGGATAGCATCCTAGCATGGCCACATTGGCTGCATCCTAAAGTACCTGACAGAATGGTACCTGAAGGATGTATTGTAGTAACACTCACAGCAGCTGGGGAAATGGAAACACCACCCTGGTAAAGGGATCTGTGTGGAACCAACAGTACCTACTGCACGATTTTAAACATTATCCAAAATTTCATACAGAGTCTTTGAATATTTACTATTGTAAATAGTAAATAGTCAAATATTCATTTATTTACTACTGACCAGGCACCCATTCTAAGCACTAGGGATTCAGTAGTGAGAAAAGAAATAGCCTCTTAACAAATAGTTGACACAGAAGTAAAGAGATAACATGCAATGTGATAATAGCAATAATAGGAGTGTGAACTGACATTTGAACTTGAGGTTGATAGTTGAGTAGACATTCTCCAGGTGGAGAAGGAGATCAAAGAATAGCAAGAAATACCAAGCGGCAAATGTTAAGTCCTATGAAAAAAAGTAACATTTCGATGGGTGTGGCAGAGGTTGCCTTTTTGTCCACATTTCCAAAAATGTGTACCATAGTACAGAACCCTAGAGAGATGCCTTTGGTAGAAAAGATTCCACAGACAAATAAGTTTGGGAAATTCAGCATATTATTGGTTCCCAAACCCTTCCTTATACACAATTCCAAAAATCTGAACAATTTTGTAATTCATCAGGCTGCAAAACTTTAACTGAACTAATGTAAGACTATTTATAGTATTTATTTATCTCACTTAATGTGGATGGCCATATATTTTGGCATGAAATGGCACAGAAATGGCATGTGTTGATTTATAAGAAGTGTTATGTAATAGTTGTTATATGAACCTTATCACCTTTCTAAATATCTGAACATTTCTGAATTCCAAATATAAACAGCCTCAAGGATTTTTAAATAAAGGACTATGGACCTGCACATTCTCCTTTTATAAAGTGACAATGCATATTATCAGTTTCTAGGAAGTTCTTCAGTAAAGAAATTAAGTTTCTTTCACCTAGTATTTTCCACATAGCTTTAACTTTTCAACATTTAACCTCCTCTGTTTTGCTTACAAAACACTGACTAATATTCCCAGAAAAATTATAATTAATATATTAATATTCCAAGGAATGGATTTTAGGAAATATTATTTATCGTACTATAGGCACTGAACAGTCAACTGAAGTCTGACTATTATTTTTCAGGACAATGACTGTCTTTAGTGAGGATAACAGACTGAGGTTTAGTTCTGGATAGGAGATTTTTGCTGTAATGTCAGCAAGAAAGGAAATAAGCTTGAACTAAGGCCTTCCAAATGCCATATATTAAAGTGGAGAGATTCAAATGAGGGGACCATTTTAAGGCAAATTGATAGCTTTTGGGATTTGAAAAGATGTAGAGAGAAAAGGAAAAGGGAGAGTTGATTATAGTTCTAGGTTTTCTAAATTCAGAGAATAGACAAATGGCAATGCTATCAATTGGGCTGGGGAATAAAGGAGAACCAATTAGTGCATAGGGAAAGATGACTAGTGAGATACAAAATTCCAGGTGTCTGGTAAAATATAGATGCTGAAGTACGAGGAAATCAGGCTGTGCTTCTCAGAGAAATATTTGGTCTACTGATATGCAGGTGGAGCTGGGATCCACCTACAATGGTATGAGAGAGTGTAAGAGTTGAAAATCACCCCCAGCAAGCACACAGAATAATCAGACCAAGACCACATCACTGGCAAGACATTAGCATGTATAGAATAGGAGGAAGAGTTACTTAAAGAGAAAGAGGAGTGATCAGAGAGGAGCTGGGAGAAGCAGAGAGAGCTTCCAGGGTTTGCTTGTGAGTATTCCCCACTACATGAATCGAGGAGAAGAAGCCTGAGAGCAGGTCCTAGCCCTGGACGATTATCAGGTCACGGATGACATGGGCAGGAACTACCTCTGTGGTGTGGTCAACACAAAAGCTAGACCCAAGTGGGTTGAGGAGTGCCTTAGTCAGCTTGGGTGGGCTTCCATAATAAATACCACGGACCAAATGGCTTAAATAATAGAAATTTATTTTTTCACAGTTCTGGAGGCTGGAAAGTCTGAGATCAAGATCTGGCAGTGTTCATTTTATGGTGAGGCCTTTCTTCCTGGCGTGGGATGGCCACCTTCGTGTTGCGTGCTCACCTGGTCTCTCCTCTGAGTGCACATGCAGAGAGGGAAAGATCTCGCCCTCTTCCTTTCCCTGTAAGTCCACCAATCCTAATGGATGGGGACCACGCTCATGACCTCATTTAACCTTAATTACCCCCCTGATACAGATACAGTCACATTGGGGGTGAGGGCTTCACCGTATGAATTTTGGCCGGACACATTTCCACCAGTAGCAAGAAGTGAGGATGTTGCTGACTATGCTAATTAAGGTAATAAATGTGAGAAAGGAGAAAAGATGTTCTCTACCATGAATATTTGAAATTTGTTTCTTAAGATTATGGAGATTTTTTTTATCATTTCTTGTATGCTGTAAACAGACAGAATGAAAAGGGAGAGGCTGCAGGTACACAAGGTGCTTGATAGAAAAGCTCACAGAGAAGGAAGGTGGGCACTGGGATGCAGTGGTGAGATGGCACCTAGCCCAGCAGTGCAGGAACTGGCTGCAGGAAGGAGGAGTGAGGACAATTTCTGCGAGAGGAAGGAAGCAGGTGCGTGTAGGTCCTGTTCTCCTTTGGTCTGGAGGTCAAATAGACAGAAATCGAGTTACTTTACCTGCAATGGTGCCAGTTTCCTTGAAATTGATGTTGAAATAGCCCTGAAATAATTGAACAAGCCAACAGATGATAATTATGTTTTCCTTGCATGTTTTGAAGTGGCTGCCATTTTGCTTCCAAAAATTAAAGAGGGTATAACCCCAGGATGTGGCGGCAGCTCAGTGGGACTCTGCACCCACAGGTGATAAGTATTGCTTAAGCATTTAAATGACTTCTCATCCACCTACGAAATAGACATAGAAGTATGCAAGATTAAAACGATACCCCCATTGCCACCACTTGTGAAGTGAGAGATAATAAAACAAAATCACATGTCTTCAAGTCCACCAATTGTCCTAAACCCATTTTTTATATTAATGGTTGGTCACATCTGAATGCACAGGGTGCCATATTGCCCCATCCTCATCCCCAGAGAATGGTGAGGTTGGCAATAACCAGACCACCTGCAAGAACAAGTCTTAGCATAATTCTGGAGAAATATCTGGGCAGCTGTTTGCGATGTCATGAAAGGTGGTTGCTTTAAGCAGAATGAAAGGAAGGAAAGTTAAAAGCATTTAAAGGATTCCTTGGAACAACACTTTCAGCCAAGTGGCCCCTATGTAGCTGGGAAACAAAAACTCATCAATTCTTTCATTCTTTCTCTAGCCCACATTCACTGTGTACCTGCAGCTTGCCAGGTGCTGTGCTAGGCACAGCAAATACAGTGGCAACCAGGCAGATACCACCCCTGGCCCCACTGCTGCCGTGGCAGGCAAGACTACTGTTAAATAAGTAATTACAACAAAGTGAGATGTTGTGATAAGGATGCCTGGGTATTGTGAAAGCATAAAAGAGAGGGATTTAAATAGGATGTGGCATTTAGAATCCACAGAATAAACAGTAGTTAATTAGACGAAGAGAAGGTGGAAGCATTCCAGAAATACAGAAGAGCAAGAAGAGTGAGTGGGGGCCTGGAAGTGTGAAGGAGAACAGGGAGAGTTCACTACATCTGAGGAGGAAAAAAAACACACATAAAAACCAGCTGGGTCCTATTGAGAGAGAAAATAAACAAAGCTGAGGCAGGAAAAGTTGGCCATGGCCAAGTGGAAGATGACTTTGTAAATCAAATTAAGGTATTCGAACCCCATCATGCAGATGTGGTAGAATCAGACTTGTAGGAAAGGATTAGGATTGAATTTTAGGACAATCATTTCCCCTCGGCAGGTAGAGTGGATTAGCCCTGAGGAGCCAGGCCTTAGGGCGATGGCAGTAGAGAACAGGGGTGGGTGTAGGATCGTGACGCAGAGCACTTCAGAACAAGCCTTGCCCCTTTGAGCTGTGCAGGTCAGGGTTCAATACCAACACGGAGAGTTTCCTCTAGGCCCATGGACCTGCGCTCTTCTCCCACGGTCTTTCTGGTCCACTGACGGTCCTGGGAGACATGCATATTAAGCACCTGTGATGTCTGAATAACTTGCTGCTGCAATGCCTACCTTTACCCTGTGCCTTGTGTGGTTTGGGTGATGACTACTAAGTCTGGTTTTATTTTTCTCCTGCAAATGTTAAAATCTGTTTTGTACTACTGAGGAATTTAGTTTGGCTCACAGAAATTGGTTCTAAAGCAGAGGCCTGGGAGCAACCAAGCCGAACCCACCCAGTGCTGCAGAACAGAGAGATTCTAACCCAGCCAGCCAGCAGGAATAAACGTGACAAGGAGGAAACGCACGACCAGAGGCGGCCTGGTGCTGAGCTGAAGTCCTGGTGAAGCAGAGATGACAGATGCCACTGCTCTCTGCCAAAGACCCATTCCAACCCCATTAGTGCATGGTGTAAGAATGAGCGTGCAAGAATCACCATAAAAACAAAGGCAGCCTGTTGGGCCCGGCCTGGTGACTCAGGCGACAAAGGCCGTCTGCCGGCTGGTGCACTGCTGGGCCTGCTGGGGACTGGGGTGGCCAGTCTGGTCTGGCCTGGTCGGACCTCACTCCCCTCCTGCCCCTTTGTCTGCATGCCAACGGCAGGGGCCCCGCGGCCATCCTGCCTCTGCTGGAGGAGAGGCCTGGGAAGAGCTAGCAAAGGGGCTCTGCGAACAAGTGCACCCCAGGAATGAGGCACCAGAGCCAACGCCGTTGCTCGTGTGAGCCTGGAAAAGGCAAGTCCATCCAAATCTGCAAGTGTTTAAATAGGGATATTGAGCACATCATGTTGCTGTGAAAAAGACGGCTATTAAAAGCAACGTTATGTTTGGCCACTTTGAAATTTTCTACTGAATCTCACTGAGGCTGACCTGATGGTGGGCAGCGAGGGTGGTTTTAGCATGCAGCTTCTTTCCATAAAGCCTGGGCCTGGGGGTTATTAGAGACAGAGTGGAACGCTTTCATCTTTAAAAACTGTTTATTAACACACGGTTAGCACTCTGTAGTCCACTTGCGTGGGCTTTCTGGTCACAAATAGAGGGCAGATGGCATGCCACTGCTGAAACGGACTCCAGCCTTCACCTTCTTCGCTTTACTCTAATGAGATCCAGGTTGGAGGCGTGGGAAGGAGTTTGCTGGGCTTTTATGGCCTTTGCAGGAGATGCGCAGGGAAGCATTTCTGGAATCCTACATGGCAACCTGTTTAGGGGGCTGGGGTCTTGATCCACGCAGGCTCTCTCTGGAAGGAACCTATATTTCAGATCTCCTGCCGGCCACAGGCAACCAGGAGCACCTGCCTCCCAAAAAGCATCCAAGGGGATGCCGGCTTTGGCACTGGGGACAGCCAGCAGGGACACCTGTCCACAGCCATGGGGTGAGAGGTGGGGAGATTCCGTGGGCCAGAGCGGGGCTTGCTGTGAAGGACCCGGTGACCCAGATGCTGCTGGGCTGTGCTGGCACCCTCCTCATGCTGAGCTCCTTCTCTCCCTCTTCTATCAGCACAACTTTGCAGAAAGAGATACCAGAGAGAGGACAGTCAATCCACTGATAGGAAAGCAAGGACATCAGGGTCACCAGGCATTAAGCAGAGGTGTGATAGCTTGACCTGGTAAGGAGGCTGAAAGCAGGAGAGATAACAGCCGGAGTGAGCTCAGTGCAATGCCAGCAACTCAAGGGAATGTCGAGCCATGTGGCCCCAGCAGACGCTGCCCTCTCCAACACAAAGAGGCGGCCAGCAAGGACTTGGGGTTTCCTACAAAGGGCAAGAGCTTGAAAGAATGCCGATAAGGGCCCTACACAGAAGGGCACGGAGGGTCATTTAGTCTGGGCCTTTGATTTAGACTTTCGATATTATCTCCAAATGAGCTTATTTATTTAGTCACTGAGATACAGTGACCGGATTGAAAGACAATGGCTATATTTTCATAGTCAATATTATCATAAGCCCTGGCTATCTTTTGAATAGCATAATGTATTTTCATTTTTGAAATTACTAGTTTGCTAAATACATGTAAAGTGTATCACAGTATTTACGATACTGTTTTGGTATATCTTCATGTTTAGTATGCCTGGGGTTTTAACATAATGAAAGTAGCTGACGTCTCTTGAACACTGAAAGATCCTGTTATCCTACCCTCCCACATAAACTAGGTGTTGCTCATTCTAATCACAATCATGGCTTTACCTACTGACACTTAGAACTAACTGACTAACGCCTGAAAACAACAACTTGTGACCAACTTAGCACAAAGCTGAGGGTCCCCCTAAATGGCATGGTAGGAAGAATGTTGGAAATTAAAAAAAATACACATCTGTCCTGACTCTGGCTTTGCCAACTAACCAGATGTTTGTCTAGATGACGTCCTTATGCTTCTCTGAACATCAGTTCTCTCACCTATGAGGCATCACAGTGGAGGATTAAATTAACTCCATAAAACTCCTTACACAGGACTTGGCACAGAGAGGTCAATTTTCTCCCCTTTTTCCATTTCTGGGACTCACCTTTCTTTTCTGTTAAGATGAGAACTTTTCAAACTTTAACACCATTCTGTCTTCATTGATAGTAGATTTAATCTACTTCAATGAACACTACAAATACCAAAAAGAAATCTCAGCATTGCCTTGATGGTAGTGATTTTTGTTTTCTCTGCGTCATAGATGATGTCATTATCCTTTGTTCCTTAAAGTCAGATTTCGATCTGGGAGATGACAGGTGTGGCCTGTGAAACAAATGTAGAAATGACCCTTTCATACACGCACAATTACCAGGGAGTCTAGTGGTCACTCCTGCCAGAAAACATGTCCTTCTCATGTCCTCCTCCTACCTGGCCTTACCCAGCAAAACCCTGGGAAGTCCTCAAGGCCCAAACCAGAAGTTTCCTTCTGTCACTCGGCCTTTGGCAATCACCGCGTTCAGAGGTGAGCACGTGGTAGTAGCTCATTAGTAGCTGCTGGTCACGTGTGTGCTGATTTTGGTGTAGATGAGCATCTCAGAGAAGAGACCAGAAGTTCCCTTGCTCTCTGTGAGCACCTTTCTGCTTCTCCCCTGTTTCAAATACTGCTCCTTCTCCCACGTTTGCCCCCCAATTGTTAGGTGTCCAGAGCAGAGCAGACCAAGAAAATACAATGCAAGCCACATATGTAATTTTAATTGCACTCAGTGTCACTGCTTTGTTTGCATAGGGAATGAACGTGATGCAATACACTTTCCTACAACAATAAACAAATAACCTATTGATAGCAGGTGGAAGAGAAAGAATGCTTATGTTTGTAGGTTCAACACCAAAGAAGCCAAAATAGATTGTAAACTCTACATATATTTTTGAAGAACACAAGGTGTTAATTAAAAGCACTGTTTCATAAATGCTTAGAATAAATGAGACATTTCGAGTATGGAAGATACACGAGTTAAGTAGAGACAACCAAGATTGCAGCAGAGGGACATATATAATTTACTGACATAAAAGATTCTCACTGAATAAAGCCAAACCTTTCCACTCTTGTGTTTATAAAAGAAGGTAGAAGCCAGAAATGGACATATGGTGTCCCTGGGGAGGAAAGAAGACAGATGCAAAATAAGTTATGTTCTTGACACAACAGGTGATCAAGAAATTTATAATCTTTGAATTAATAACTAAGACAACTCCAAGGCCAGAGAGAAAACTGTCACAGCATTTTGAGGACAGTGGCAAAAGAAAAAAGAATATCAACCCTTATGAGAAAAAGTTAAAGTTTAACACCTGGAAAAAGCATCCTTCCCTTAAACCTGAAGGCTCAGCTGACTTTGTAGAAAGTGTCCCTTTGGAGTTCCAGAGTCCCCTACCCTATCCCCTATTTTCTCTGCTCAAGACACCAGAGGCCACTCTCAAAGGACTTGAAGACCCACCAAGCTGTCTTTGGATCACAATGAGAGGGAACAATGGGAGGGGGCCGCTGCAGGGGGAGCCAGTGCTGAGATTTAGAAAAAATTTGAAAAGACAAAGGAGAGCCAAGAGGCTGTAGAGGAGGGAGAAAGCAGCAGGACGCTTAGCAAGGATGTGATGGGTCAGGAAGGTGGAGCACAAAATAAAGTAAAATATATAAACATGCCCACCTCGTCAGTTATTTATATTAAAAACAGTGTATGACGTTTACATCACTCGATTAACCAGAATTCCTACAGCAGCCATTTGGGGTAACATTTTATGGTTTTAAAAATACTAAGGCTGCCTGAAAGGTTGAAAACTCTGAACACGGTGCTGAGGGTTTGACTCATTCAGTCTTCAGCATAGCTCCATGCACAAGGAGTTCTCCCTATTTTGCAGATGCCAAACAAGTTCTGTTCTCACCAGAGCAGACCTTTGAGAACTGCAAGGGGAGAGCTCACCGGTCATCCCTCTGTGGCACCTGCAGGTCACGGGGTATTCACTCAAAGCCCTTGAGATGGAACGTGACGCCGGATCTAGTTCAGGTGCAGAATCAATGGATTATGACCCCCACACCTGGTCATGCGTAGGAAAGTGAGAGGCTACACGCTCACTTGAGTACTTTAGGGTAAAAGAAGTACCAATTTTAAGTAGGGGAGGGAAAAGGGATGCTTATTTGCCCTCGGATGTCGAGTGTGACTCGACACGGTTAGCAAAAATTATAGAGATTAAAATTACTCTTTGAATGTATCAATAATTTGAAATATAAAAAAATCCAAATAGATAAGTTTGTATGAAAAGAAACTCCAGTTTTTTATTCTACTGCTGTGCTTTGTAAAATCTGGGGTATTTAAAAAATTAAATCCCAAGTAGAATAAAGGAATCAAGAAAAAAGCAAGTGAGTATGAAGGGTTAAATTGACCTTGACCTTGTTCCTGCTTGAACTGCTTGCAGAGAGAGCAGTAATGAGCTGGCACTTCCTACCTCCCAGAGCAGCTCCCTGTCCTGCTGATCCTGAGTCTCTCTCGGAGGAACTGGGAAAGCCCAGCTTCTCGGAGCCCAGTCCGGACCCTCAGAAGCAGGAGTCAAGAGGGCTGGAGCCAGGGACTTTATAATCTGAAGAGCTTCCTGGTGTGATTCTGACACTCGGCCACATTTGTGAACAGAAACACAGTACTGGGACAAGTTGAGAATAATGCTGATGCTACTAAAAATTTTTTTGAAAAGTTTTTTTCAAGTTAACATGAATAATAGTCATCGAAGAGGAAGGCAACAATTGACATCTCTCAGCTGCTTGGTTTGCTCGGGGCACTGAGCTAAGCACTTTATGTGAATTACCTTATTTAATCATGATGATAAATTTATGGAGTACTATGTTATTATCCCTCTTTTACCAATGACAAAACCAGGGCTTAGAGAAGTTAAATAATTTGGCCAAGGTTAGCCATTAATTACATTCAAAACATCCAAGGGAATACAAACAAAACCTGGAAGGGGTGTAGTAATGTATTTATGAAATTGAGACTGACTCTTACACCGATCTCTTAGTTTTTGAGGCGCATTCCTGAGCGCCAGTCATTTAATCTAACCTAAATTGGAGTTGTCCATTTGCAAAGCGGGTGCAGACTGACAACATTCTCTGGAACAGGTTTGCCTCTTTGAGACAGTTCAGAGGTGGGAAGGGTGTTGAGAAGGCATTTCTGCGAAGACCTGGTGTTGAAGTCGAGTAAATTGAATCTGAGAACAACAACCTCAGTTTAAATTAAAGGAAAAACAGCAAAACATGGATACTCTTTGGAAGACTTGTTAAATAATCACCCTTTAGAAATGTGCTGATGGCTTTAAAGAAGGGCAGCAGAAACCATCCCTAGTTGGCCAAGTATGTGTTTATCCTATTAGATTCAAGTGGGTCCTAAAGGCTTGAAAACAAATATTTCCTAGCTGAGAACAGTCCTTGGGGAGAGTTATTTTGGCACTGGGAAGGTCTCCTAATGTAACCCCAAATCTGTAAGCTGTAAATAAATCCATACCTTAATACCCCCAGCCTTTATTTGCAAAGGCTAATTTGCTGCTGTTTACCGAGGGCCAAATTCTCAAGCACTGACAAATACAATGGTGACCCCTCAATTCCAACACCCTCCAGTCCACCGGACGATAAGCCAAAGGCTAGGAAAGCCACCCTCCAAGGAAGGGTTTTGGTAGCTTGAGCACAGTCATCAAATGCTTCTAGCAGTGACAGTCCATGTCACAGAGCAGGTAGAAGCTAACATTTGTAGGAAATTTCCTAGGACTAGCTCAATCCTTTAGGAAGGTAAAACTCATTGCCTTCTGTGGTTTCTTGAAAGGTTTCACCTTCCTTGATAACAAACACACTTTCCACCATCTCGGCTCAGTACCACACCTGAGTAGTCAGTACAAAGATCTCCATGTGTTGCTGAGGGTTCAGGGTTATGGAAATAGTAATACAGCTAAATGAACCAACAAATTTGAACTGGGCCTGAGTAAAAATACTCTCCTACAAAAGCTTCCATCTCTATTTTTCTCCCCTCTCAAATTACTCAGAAGATTTGATTTTAGTTAAAATATAACACCTGGACTTTTACTTTAACATTTAATATTGAGTTGATGTTCAACCATTTTTAAGTTATTTCTGGGATAAATATATATATATTTTTTCAAGTGTTTTTAAGTGATTATGATATGCTTTGCTTCCTCACAACAATTTTTAACATATGTTATTCAACTTTGCCTTCACAATTCATCTTCTTCTGAAAAAGAAAATTTTAAAAAGTTACCTTAGGACTAAGATAAGACAGGGAAAACTTCCACTCTAGGAAAATAATATTAGATTTGACATAAATTAGATGCTTGCCAGTAACTCAACCACACCTGTCAAATAAGATGTTAAAATATGAAATAGAATATTAGCAAATTTGATTTTGCTAGTGATTGAGCATAAGATTTAACTGTGCTGTAACCAAAGGAAAGGGGAGTTTGAAGGCAGATCTATTTTAGTTGGAGAAGCAAATATTCATATAATAAAGAGATTAACCACCAGAATTTTCATTGCACTTTCTCTCCCAAATAACTTTTGGAAAGAAGGGAAAAAATGTAGTTCAATTCTCTGGAAGAGTATTTATTATGTTTATAGTGCTTTTATTTAGCAACACCTTCAAAAGTTATGGAGAGCAAAACAAAAATGCAAGTGCAAATACCAACAAGAAAACAATCACATGATACAGCGTGATAATATAAGTATATCTTATATTACGCAATTTGGGATGAGCTAAGAGGGGCATCTAACCCAGAGCAAAGTAGGAACTTGAACATTCCAGGTCATCTCCAAACATGCATTTTATTGCCTTTTAGTTTGTGCTTAGTTCCTCTTGGATATACACACCAGCTTTCACAAACCTTAATGGGCACAGGAATCCCCTGGGGATTTTGTTAACATGCAGATTCCGATTCTGTATGTCTAGGGTGGAATTTGAGATTATGCATTTCTGACCAGCCCCAGGTGATACCGATGCTGGTGGACCACCCCACGCTGTGAGTAGCAAGTGTGTAAACTGCACTCCTGGCTTATGACTGTTATTACAGCTTCTTCTAGAATTTGTCCCCAAAGCTCCAAAAAACAAATACAACGTTCTCAAACATAGGCAGGCTCGTATTTGTAAATAAGTCTTAATAACATCAACATAGGGGAAAAATACATTATCCATTTATTTTTCTCTTGCATCTACAAATGTATAACCCTCAAATACAGCAGGAAAGTTGGTTAAGTGAATTAAATTCTTTTTACCAGAATTTTTAAGCCCCTGGGGTTTTTACTTTAAGCCAGATGTACCATGATTGGAACTATTTTTCTCAGCAGGTTGCCGTCTTTATATTGGGATGACAAGCCAGATTTGCTTTTAAAAATTAGGTAAAAGCTAAAATAAATGTCAACTTTAAGAAAACATTGTGATTTACTCATTTGAAGTCTTCATACCCCATTGGAAGGAGGTACGTTAATAGATGCAACACTTTTGAAAAGCAATCTGATAATATATCTTACATGCTTAAAAAATTTCTACCCTTTAACCATAGTAATATGTACTAAAGAAATCCCAAAATAGGGGGAAAAGCTTTTTACACAAAGATGTTCATCACAATGAACTTCTCATAGCAGAAATTTGGAAACATGCTGAAGTTCTAAAAATTATATAACGGGTAAGTAAATCGCACAACCACTTAAAGAGATATAATTTGGTCTCTGAAAAATATCTTTAACCACTTCGGTACAGCGCTCACCAGCCACCAAACCTTGCCCACAGCCGGCACTCACAGTCCACACGATAGTTTGTGCTGTGCATTGACAATGAATCTGTTTTGCTCTTGTGTGATGAGGAAAGCTTGAAATCACTGAAAGCTTGTTTTACTTTACAGGCAGCTTTACTTGTAATGTAAACCAGAATAGGTAACATATACATATATGTTTTCATGACGTTATTTTGAAATGTTCACAATTTTATTTTGATAAATGGAAAATCAGAAAAGTCATATCATGGCTGTCGGCTAAAGTCGCTGTGCACGTTCATCTGTGACTGTCGACTATAGTCAACGCTTGTACCGAAGTGGTTAAAGCAGTTCTTAAAACATGCAAAATACACTATCATGTTAAGAGAAATTATTAAAATACAGTATCATATAGAGAGTTCTTACAATTATGAAAAGAAAACACGCACACATGTCTACAGATATGTGTGATATTGGATATGTGATATGTGCGCAACCCCAGAGAGAGACAATCACACAGCAGCGTGTGCGGATGGTTTTTCCCGGAGTCACATAATGCACAACTTGCACAGCCAAACATGGCAGCCCTGCTTATAACACGCAAAGAGTCAAGACTGAGTACACCACATGTCAGCAGTCTTTGGAGAATAATATTATGTTTTTATTTTTCCCTAAATATTCCAAATTTTCCTAGAAAAAGCATTCCTGCTTTCACAAATGGAAACAATTATGTCAAAAATTAGAGAAACAAGCAGAAATAACAGTTTGTTCTCCTGTCTTTTCTTCACTAGATCTCTTCAGCAAAGTATATCAAAATGCATTCTTGCAGTCATAATTTTTGATTTTTAATTGAAGCAAATAGAAGGAGTTTTTTCCCTTTGATTTTCCCATGGCATAGAACTCTATTTCTCTTTGGATCATGATCAAACTAAGCCTTCCTGAGTGCTCATTGTGTGCCAGGCACAGAGTTAATATCTGATCTCATGTAATCCCGGCATTGTACCGTAGGGAGTATCACCGTTGCCATTCTATAGTCTAGAAAGAAGGGAAAAGGATACTAGTTTGGCCATTCTCCCTTGGCTTTCCCATTTTACTTCCTCCTGGGTAATGGTGGGTGTGAGGCCATGTTGAAGAATGAGATGGGGCAAAGGTGGATTAAGGAATCTCGCTTGCCAGAAAAGTAAACAAGATCCCCTCTATAAAAGTTGCTTCTAGCCAGAGAGTATGAAGGGGACCAAAAAACTGCTTAAAAGGAATTTCAGTTGGAGGGAGCCAGATAGTGATACTGTTGGAAGAGTTGGAGAGAAAGACAGAAGACATGGTTCACATTCCAGTTCACT